CAACGAAAGTAAAAGTAAAAGCAGAGACCAGTCAAAGAAACTCCAGAATATTGGGGTTGATGCTGCTGCCTAACAGCCAGCCAGCCAGCCAGCTAGCGCCGAGAGGCGACCAGAAATAATGTTCGCATTAATTCCTCATTTAAATTCAACGGCGCGTACGACGCATTAGTTGCTTCAAGCCACACCACCCATGGCACCCAAACCACTCTCACACCATTCAAGCAGCAGGCAGCAACCCTCGAGTGGCTGCTGCTGCTGCCTTTGTTGTGTGGTGTGGTGTATGTGTGTGTAGCATACTTTTGGGAGCAGCTACTTCGACAGTTTTTCGCATTGAAGTGCTTCTCGATTACTTAAAAGCAAATTCCGTTCCTGAGCGAAAGTGATCAGCGACGGTTGCTCATTTCTCACTGGCTGCTCGCAGCTGTTTCCTTGTTTCAAACTACTTATGTGAAAGCTTGCTGCTTGAGTAGTCGGCAACTTTTTAAATTAGCATAATGCCTGAAATTATGCAACGCCTTTGCACCAGACACTTGTGCTGGCTGCCAGTCGTTGCTGCTGCTGCTGTTGCTGTTGCTGCCGCTTCTGCTACTGCTGATGTTGTGGCACTTTAAGTGCACTTTGCACGCCCCTACCCAAAAACAAACAACAATTGCAACAACATTCAAAAAAAAAAAAAAAACTGTAACAATAACAATGCCAGCTGGGGGTCGTCGTAGTTGAGTCCAAGGAAGAAGTAAATCAATGCATTACACTCCAGAATGTAGCTGTAGGTATATCTGTGTCTGTGCTGATAATGCCAATAATTCAATTATCCTGCATTCATTGCGCCTTCCCTCCCATGCTGCTTTTACTCCTGGTCGCCTGGTCTCCTTGTCGCCCTCGCCTGTCTTTGGCTTTTTGTTATTGACAAACCAACTGACTTGCTGATATTGTTCTGTTATTGGACTTGTATTGTTACAGTTGCAGTCACTTAGCTCGCAGCGCACAGATAACAAGCAGAAGTGTCACAGCAAGACATCAGTGGAAACAATTGTGACAATAATTCAAAAATTGCTTTATCATTGGCTATTACACACTTTCTGCAGTTGGATAATTATAAATACTCGTAAGCTGAAATGATTTTTATGGAAATATTCAGTTACTTCAGGTTGATTATGTATATTAGTACATAAATTATCGTAATCAGGCGACTTAAGAAATGTTTGTAAACATTTTGTAAGTTATAATGAATGCTTCAAAGAATTATTTGTGAATAGGAACTGATTGGTCAGTAAGTCATTATGTCTGTTCCGAGGAAATTCCATTAACATTTATAAGACTCTCTCTGTCTCTCTCTCTTTCTTTGTCTTTCTCTCTGTCTCTCTCTCTTTCTCTCTGTCTATCTTGCTACTCGTTGTATTGCTTTGGAGCTTACCCGGTCAACTGCTGACGACATTAATTGTGAACATAATTTTATTACATTTGGTTCATTAAAACTTTCAAAATGGCAGCCCCAAAAGAGAGAAAAAAAAAAAAAAAAAAGAGAAAGAAAATTAAAAGGAAATGTCGAACACATCCCAAGGGGCTTTTAAAGCGAAGCTCTATGGAATTATGGCTCATTAAATGACATAATGCAGATAGAGCACACACACACACACACACTAACACACAAACAAACAGCAAAAATGTGGCATGTAGTCTGGATGGTGTATAGCATACTTTCTGGCAAGTTAGCAGCTGCTTCTCGGCGTGGCAAGTGAAAAGCACAGGCGCTGGCGAAGCTGCCTCCGCTAATATATTTCTAATACACAAACACGCACCGAAAATACACACGATGAGAGAATCGCAGAGCTCAACAGAATACAGCAGGGAGTCCAGGACATGTGCCGCATAATAGCCTTAACAAGATTTTTGGTTTTTTCTTCTTTTTTTTTTTTTGGTTTGGCATTGCTGTCGTCTTCGACGAGCCTAGCCTCTTAACTGCCGCTGCGTCTTTTTCAATTACACACATAATTAAATGTGTTCCCCCATATATCCCTATCCCTGTCTTTGACTCTGACTCTGACTCCGAATGTGGCTCTATCTCTATCTCTGACTCACTCTGTGTGTGGTCGTATTATCCCGTGGGGCGTGTGACAGTCTAGGTAAATATTATGTGCTTTGTGTGTGTGTGTGTGTGCGTGCCAGCAAATGCTGAAAATCCCTCCCAATAGACTCAGGCCATATAGTCTTAGCTCATATTACATTTTGTAGATTTTAATAAACATGCTGATAATTTAATTAAATCGTATGCCTTTATTTAACATTGAAACATTCTTGCTCGAACCCAGCATCCGACTGTCTGTTTGGCAAACGGCAAAACTCCATTTGCTGTTGCCCAAATTCAATTTCATTTTATCCCAAGCCCTTTAAGCCCAAATAAAAGCCTTCTGTTGGCGGGCGTATGATGGTTTTAATTTGTACAAACATTTTGTCTCATTTGTTAAGCTAAATTTGTTTGCTTGGGATCATTGGGCTCTTTAATACAAATTGCGTTACAATTAGCAAACAATTGTGTTGGTCGCATTGCGAAACTCGGCTTGTAAATAATTTTCCAAAAATGCATATATTAAATAAATAGTAAACAAACAAAGGCAAAATGCTCTAGTCGGGAGTTGAGGCAGAGAGTAGACAGAAAGGAAATTAATTTATACGGGTCGCATGATATAGATTTATAGATGACGCCATTTGGCACTGATGCGCCCCTCGAAGTGCACTTGGCCCATAAATTGACAGCAAAAAGTGTGCAAAAGTACTTCCAACACATATACAAATAACAACAGCAACAACAACAGCAACAACAACTTGAACGGAGCGACATAAATTTCTATTAAATACAAACGAGCTTCGCAAAAAGTTGTTTTGCTTAGAAAGAAAGTTTTTTGGGGACGCTCATTTAGTGAGCAAAAGTGAGCTTATTGATTGACACATCAGCTTTAAGGCTAAGCAGATATAATTATTTGTTTCCGACAGCCATCTAAAAACTTTTCACCAACCATAATCTTATATATATGTTGATTACAAGCAAACAATTCTCGATTACAACTTTGTGTTAGTTGCCAACATTAAACGGTCGAAATGTCTTCAATACAGCTATGATCAGAAACGATTGACAGACTTGGAATACTTAATGGTCTCTTGACAGGACACTGTGGACTAAGAGGCGACCTAGTTAAACTGTGTGTAATTATCAGCAGCATCTATCGATTTTGGAATAAGAAGAAGGAATCCTCAAAGCACATCATAGCGGATTAAGTCACCATGTTCAGAAGAATATGTAGTAAAGAAACATGTCTTAAGCTGAAAAGACGTTGAACAAAAGTCTTGAATTCGTTCAATAACCAGAATTGCTGGAAGAGATATAGACTCAGCTGGGGTACAATAGATCAAAATAATAATAATATTAACAAGACAGAAACAGAAACTTTTTGTATATGTTCAGCGTAAGCAAACATTTGTAAATGTCTAAAGCGAATGCTGCTGCTCTCTTTTCTGATTAATATTTCAGCATCCCTTTCTGGTTTAGTTCTGCTCACAAAAAAGTGAAAAATTGTGTAATCCATAGTTCATAAGAGTAAAGATGCTTCTTATGCAACCAATTAACTTTGAGCGACATCCAGTCAGTTACAGCACTTTGTAGTCGCGAACTGTGCATTCACTAAAAATCAATCATTGGCCCGGGGTTGCTTCACTTCGTGTAACCAAATGTGGATGACCAGTTTTTCTCATTGGCTCGGTGCCATGAGCAATTTGAGTCGCGCTCTAATCTTTGGGCTGTGCTCTCCTTTGGTGGCCAGGTGATTTGTTTGCAACGCCGTTTGCCAGCAGCAGAGCGCATAAAAATGCCATTTCTGATACCATTTTACCAGGGAGCCTAGCTCCGACTCGCTCTTAGCTCTTAGCTGTTAGCTGTTAGCTCTCAGCTCAGCTCAGCTGGCATTTGCATTTGGTTTTGGTACTGTATCTTGTATGTTTTGTGTACGTCGCATCGGGTGTGCTTTAACAATATATCAAATTCAGAGCATGCCCGCTGCATGTAACATTTTATTTAGATTTTTGCCCAAAGATTGCGTTGCATTGTCTGACTAAAGTGTTGCCGGCCAGGAAATGGAAACTAAGTGCAGCAGCCGCACATTAATCATGGACTACTTCCTCCGCCCTTCGTTTCGTTTCCAATCCGTTTGGAATGTGTTGAGACGCTGATTCATAAACCATTTATAGTTTTCTGTTGTTGCCCTGTTGTTGCTCGTAAATCGCACACGCAACTTGTTTTGGCGACTTGAAAGGGTTAAGAAATTTATGTGTTGCAATTATTTTCTTGAAATAACACTTAAAGTGATTTACCGCTCCTGATAGGTGGCAGGGGTAGCACAATAGCAAACCTAAGCAAATGTGGAATGCACAGTTCCCGCTTTTCCCATATATCTCAGCCAGTTACTCTTCCATTTATTCCACATCATTGATTTTACGCTTTTGCATTGCACTAAATAAGATTTGTTAAAAAAGGTCTTCTCCGTTTTTTTTTTGGCGAAAGAATACCCAAAAGTTTTCGCTATATGAGCAATTTGTGGTATTATTAAAAGCCTTTAGGATTTAGTTACTTAGCCTCGTATTGGTTGATGGACTTAGGAAAGATTGTGTTGCTTCTGGTTGATGGACTTAAGCAACATTCTGCTGCTGACGGCTTTGTCACCTTCAAAGTGGCATGTTAACTTGCCAGATAGGTTGACAGGGCAGCAGGGCTGCATCTGCTGTGCTTGCCAGCGAGAGATCGTCAATCAATAAATCATCCTATTGCCAGTTGCAAACCCCATTTACGACCAAGCAACCAGAAAACTGCATAACTTCACTTTGGCAAATTCCACATCGTCAGAGTATTTGAAATTTTGAAGTGTGACCTAACTTAAAGGATCTCTTATAAACCCAAGCCTATATATTTTTCCACCAGAGTTTTTAACATATTTTTCTTGCATTTATTGCAGACCTGCTATGAACTGGAACGATATTTGCGCGACGAGCCCAAGCTGCAGAGCTATAAGAAGATGCACACGGATTTGGATACCGCCTGGGATATATTCTCAACGCCGGCCCGTCTGCTGGAGGAGCTGAAAATCAAAGAGAGTCTGGACTCGATATCGACGACCTCGTCGGTGTCGTCGAATTGCTCGCGCATATCATGGGACAGCAATGGTTCGCAGGCGCTCAGCTGTGCGGTGTTGGTGAAGCAGGAACGCATCGACGAGGATGAGGAGGATGCAGCACATGGATTATCCTGTGATGACAAGTTGGGCGCGTTATTTGCACCGCCGCCGTCAGCCATATCGCCCAATCCGAGCATCAGCAGCGCCGGCAACATGACGCCCACCAGCAACAGTAGCAGCAACTGCACCAGCAGCAGCATCAACAGCAGCTGCAGCGGCAGCAGCAACAGCAGCGTAAACGTCAGCAGCAACAGCAGCAGCCTCAGCAGTTGCAACACTATAACGCTGAGCTCGAGCAGCAGCAATGCGCCAGCTATTAAGGTGCGTGTGCTGCAGGCAAAGGCGCAGCGACATTATCATTTGAATCTGGGCCAGGGTCAGGGTCAGGGCCATGTGCATGACTTTGTGATTCCGCCGTTGACGCCGCCATCATCACCCGAGTCAAGCCTACGGAGCCATAACTATGCACAGCCGCCACAACATCAGCAACAACAACAACAGCAGCAGCAACAACAACAACATCGGCCGCAGCAAATTGATGCAAGTGAGCTGGCGGCGCTGATAAAGCAACAGCAGCGCCAGCAGCAGCAACGCCAGCAGCAGCAACAAACGCCAGCAGTGGCAACAGTAGCAACAGTAAATTCCACACCCGCGACCGCCATTCTGCACTTTGGCAGCCAAAGTTCCGTCGCCAAGAATTCCTCACTGACGCAGGCCACAACGTTGCAGCTGCAACAGCAGCAGCAACAGTTGGCTGTGCAACACTTAAGCATTTCGCCGCAGGCGCTTAATAAAACCAGCGGCGGCAGCACCAACAGCTCGCCGGGCAACGTCAACAGCAACAACAGCAATAACAACAACAACCACAACAATAACAACAACAACAGCAGCAGCAGCTGCAGTGTTGATCAGTCGTCGAGCAACCACAGCAACATTCCTCGCAGCACCATCGTGCGGCTAACCACAGCAAATGGAACACCTGGAGCCGCTGGCATCAGTCTGGCTCGTGTTATACAAATGCAAAACAATGGCAATGCTAATGTTGCTGCTGTGCTCAGCGCCGCCGCCAACAACAACAACAGTAATAACAGCAACAACAGCAACAGCCACAACAATAATAGCAGCACCAGCAACAACAGCAGCAGCACATCAGCAATGCAACAGCAATCGGTCTCACAGACGCCACAAATAGTCGCCGTGGTTACGTCAAACCCGGTGAAATCCACAACTGGTACGTATACTCATTATACCGAAAGTATTTGTGGGCCACAATATTTAACCACACAATTAACTTGACAGCATCTACCAAAAATCATCACCCGCGCCAGCATCACAGCGATCACAGTCCGGACTCGAAGCGACGGATACACAAGTGCCAATATGCTGGCTGCAAAAAGGTCTACACGAAGAGTTCACATCTAAAGGCGCACCAAAGAACCCACACAGGTGAGAAGCTCACAGTACGCCATAAAATACAAATTAATTATAATTCAATAAAATCAAAACGAAATTAAAAAAAAAAAGAATTGTGGAACAATTTCGGTACATTTCACTACTCAATGATATAATCATTAGGTAGACAGCAATTTCGTGTCATGCCCAACATTTCCCCTGGCGAAAAACCAGCCAACCAGCCGGACTCGAGTCGCTGGCCGCCCCCGCGCAATAAATCAGACTCCCACGACATCGGGGCGGCACATTGGTGTGACCTGAACACGAAAACAGGACCACGACCAGGACACGAGTGCATTGTTTTGTTGCCATTGTGGCAATGTCCACACGCGGCGGGCATGCAAAATCAAGTGCAATGCGAGCGGGCAACCCAAAAAAACATCCTTGGATGACAGTAGACGAGGCTTCAAATTTCAATAAAAATCGCATAACTCAACAATGAATTATTGGTTACACGCACATGGGGCACTCTTACACGTTGACACATAGATAAAGCCCAGCGATGAGATGTAATTTTATTGCTGCCACATACAGCATCAGAGATTCCCAGAGAGAGGGAGAGAAGAGCAGAGAAAGGGGGAAAATGTGCTCCGTTTATTGATTTGTGCCATCGCAATTTTTACAATCGAATATTTGCTGCTGGCTTTTGTTGCTGTTGCTGTTGCTGTGTGTGCTGCTGTGTGTGTATCTGAGTTGAACAAGAGCCCTGTCAGCATGCACTTAACCCATAAAATATACATGGATTTATATTCATATATTATGAAAATTATAAATCAAACAAAATGGCCTATACGCCAGTTAATCAATCTAGTGACGAATTTATATATATATTTTATTGTCCTTTTTTGTATTTTGTCGCAGTACGCTCAATTGTATAAAATGCACTATTCGAAATTGTAAAATTATGTCGATGTCGATGTCGATGTGCATATGCCATTTAAATGTTGTTTTAAAAATGTATTTGACCCTTTCAGTATTACCGCAAAAATGTGTTTGACCCTTTTGCAATCAGCTGTATTGCTAGAGCAGTAATTTGAGTAAAGCCTTATACAATATTTTGATACTGCCAACATCATTAAGTATTTATAATAAAATTGCTTTTAAAGTGGAAGGTTCAACTTTTTATCATAATGTAGACCAAGTTGTTGTTGACTTTTTATATCGTTTACTCATAAAACGAGTACTGTTTGTAATAAACGAAGGACACATTTCCGACTCCGACTAAATTTTAAATTTATCTATATATATATATAGATATTCATGATGAGGCGCCATTTCCGTCTTACTAGCTGTTTGTCTGTCTATTTGAAGGCATCCACTTCCTATACCAACATTATATCGATAAATATCGATTACTGGCCACAGTTTAAGCATCTTACATTTTTAACGAGCTAACGGCATCAAATTTAATATGTGTGTTCTTGTATAGCATTCACAGATCATTATAAGAAAACATACACAATCTCTGTTAAATACAGGGTATCTCTTAGTTCTGCACACGCAAAAATAACGCTAACTTTTTCCTTACTTGCCAGCTTAAGTGTTTGTTTGATATAAAAAGAAAATGTTTAACAGCAAAAATGTGTTTGAAAGTAAAAAAAAAATTGCTTGATACAATTTTTTTCACTTTAGCTTTGAACATGAAAACTTTTGCCTTGGTCAATCGTCAAAAGAAAAGTATTTTAGGTAGGCGGACAACAGGCAAGTTTATCATGACGTACTTAATTGTTTGCATTTTGCTAACTTAAAAGTTGTAGTTGGCATTGTTGTTTCTGTTGTTCTCTGTTTGTGCAAAATCGGTTCTGCCTTATTGCCGCCGCAATTGAGCATAAGGTGTTAATTGAATATTTTCATATTGTTTGCAACATTTTCATTAGCTTTTAATTTTCATCCCGCTGCAGCCTTGTGTTGCACTTCTGGTCTTTGCAGTCAGCTGGGCGGATACACTTTAATTTAATTTGGTATTTTTGAATGTATTCGAAATAAAAGTCGTTAACTGTTGAGCAGAGCTTTAAATTTGGGAGCGTTTAATTAGAAAAGCATTGAAGTCACCGAACCGAAATATGTGCGAATAACTAACAAATGATTATCAATTAAAGTGAAAAGCAGAACAGAGTAGCCAATAAATGTGTGCAGTGCGCAAAAGATTTCAATTAGTTAAACGCTGTGGCCATAAAAACAACAGACTTGCCAGTTGCAAGCCTGACGTTTCAAATAGCTGGTGGGAGTTGGCCCCGGCCGTTAAGAAAAGATTGCAAGTGCAATCAAGCGGATAGACGCAAACAGACCATAAAAGTTGTGTTGAGTGCAAAAGCCAAGGAGGCGCACAGCGCATAAAAGAAAAGCTAAAGAATAGCGTGAACTGAATGGAATGCCACTACCACTGCCACTGCCACTGCCACTGCCACTTTCCACCACCACCAAACACCACCAGCACAACCAACACCGCTACCCCGTTCGTTGCATGTCTCAGTGGGGCAGTCTTTCTATTGGCCGCTGACATTAAAACCCGACGCTAGCAAAATTTATAAAATATTAACTGGCTCCGAGCTCTCTGCGTAAAGCGGCACCTGCTGCCCTTGCCACCATTCTTGTTGCACTTGCCACACCCTGCCAGCTGAAACTTGTAATATGGGTGGCAGTAAGGAGTAAGTTTATGTATAGAAACAAATAGCTTAGTTTAAGTTTGAACTACGTTCGCAACAATAAATTTACAATGAGCCGATAGTCGCGAATTATGTTGCGAAAAGAAACAAAAGAAACAAAATCGATGTTTGAATACTTTAACACTCTTAACACTTGACCAACTTGACCTCACTTAACATAACAGTGTTGTATAATTAAAACTTTAAAACATGCCCTCAAACATTGATCGGCTATCGATGCAATTTAATAATAAAAATATCGTATTACAACAGATTATTAATACTTACTTCCAAATAGTTTTCCATTCTGTAATTAATTATATAAATATGAGATCGGTTACTAAATTGTATATTATTATGTTTATTATATTCTTTATGCATAAAATAATAATAATTATGGGTAATCGATTGGGTATAGGGTATCTACTAGTTGAGCTCTTTAACTAGTGTTTGTCTGCTCATTGTTTGTGCCGCTTAAATGCGCCTCAATACAAAACTCATAAGTCGTATACGTATTTCAATGCACTTTGCTTTGAGCACTTGAAGCTGATTTACGCACACACACATCCGCACACACACACACATCCGCACACACACATTCGCACACACTCTGATTTTATATATAGCTGCTGTTTCGATTTCTCGCTGAAAGTACTGACAATATGCCAATGTTGAAGTAGCAGCAACAGACACACACACACAGGGAGAGAATGTCCTCTTGCTTGCAACGTTGAGGCGCGTCACAGTTGAACGTCTGGGCAGAGAGTAAACAGAGAGTAAATGGAAATTAAGAGAGCGCTACACTTTGGCACTTTGGTCGTTGGCTCGTTGGCTCGTTTGTTTCGCTGGGCAAGTGCATAATGTGAAATTGAGCACGGAAATATCACACATTTCCGCATGCATTAAGTTTTAAGCTGTGTGAATGTATGCATGCTATATATATATATATATATAAATGTATTCGTATATATATATATATATTATATATATAAATATATTAAGCTGGTGTGGTGTGCGTTACAAAGTTTTCCACTCAGCTTTATGCATTTTTCTTGGCTGTCGTCTACTTTACTGGTTATCTGGCTCCACTTTTCACTGCTTTTCTCCAGCATGGCAACAGCGGCAATTTCCTGCCTTGTCTGCTGTTTGTCTTTTAAACTCAAATAATTTTTGCCATTTTTTCTGGCAGAACTCTGCACTGTTCTTCTATGTTTCAGTCTTTGCACATTTTTAGGTTTTCTACTTTTGTGTGAAATTACAACTTCTGCATTTCCTTTTCGGTTTCCCGGCACTGGCGCTGTAACTCTGTGGCTGGCTTTCAGTGCCATTGACTACTGCTTTTGGCACGCAGACTATTGTTGGCAAAAGGCATTCTCGATTTGGCACACAATTTCACAAACTTCGATCTGGCTTATTGCAGACGCTGGCTGAACATATAATACATATTTTTCGGCAAAAATTGATTAAGATATCTTAGTCCACATTCAGAATATGAATTCAGCTATATCAGATTTTTACTATTACAAAATATGTTCATAATAAAGATACACATTTTGATATAGAGCGGAGATTTTATGTATACAATTCAAATGATGTACAAAAAAAAAAAAGAAGTAAAGTAAGCATACTTTATTTGCTTCGTTTCCTTCCGCCTGTTCCACTATCTTATGTTGCCTTTATTATCCATTTTATTTGTGAAGGTACACAAAAAGTTGTGCCCTAAACGCTCTATACCAAGTATACCCCCCTATATCTCTGTACTCTTCCATGGTATGCATATTTATGCGCTCTTTTGTCTGTCTTGGCGCCAGCAGCAAAAAAAAAAGAAAAAGATTACAACAAATAATGGTTGCATGCAACGTGTTTGTTAAAACTGTTTTCGAGTAACTTATTTAATAAGTGGACGCTTGAGATTTTTATTATGAATTTATATTAAATCTTTTTCTTTTTGAACCACTCTCATTGCAGGTGAGAAGCCGTACAAGTGCTCCTGGGAGGGCTGCGAATGGCGTTTCGCTAGGAGCGATGAGTTAACCCGCCACTATCGCAAACACACTGGAGCCAAGCCCTTCAAGTGCCGCAACTGCGATCGCTGCTTCTCGCGCTCCGATCACCTGGCCCTTCACATGAAACGCCATATGTGAGGTGAAATCTAAATCTAATTCTATATCTGAAACAGAACAATTGTTCAACTGTTCAACTGTTCAACTGGTTTAGAGCTAATTCAACAAAATTCACGCATCAGACGATAGCACAAGCAATTTAGAATTTGGTGGAAAAGTTTTCTGTTGCCTTTGCTTTCATTGTTTTATTATTTTTATTATTTTCATTTTTTTTTTGAGTTTTTGCTTATCGTTATCGTTTCGCTTGTAAAATTTTTGTTGTATTATTTACTTTAAATGTTTAAGTAGTGAGCGGTAAGCAGTTAAGTATCCATATGCATTTCAAAAGTTGACAACAAATATTTAACAATTTACCAAAGCAAAGCTATTTTTTGTGTGGATGCAGAAAATAAATTGGGCGAATCATGCGAATCGTCATGAATCAACTTATTCAGCACAATAAAAAACAAAAATAATACAAAAAAAAATAAAAATAAAATAAAAAAATAAAATGAAAAAAAAAACATATATTTTTGTTTTGTTTGAAGCGAAGACAACAAATATTGTAAACACTGCCAAACGAAAGTGCGAAACAAATTTTAAATATTTATACAAATAAAATATACTACAAAATGTTAACATACATACATACATACAAATACAAAGATTTAAAGTTAATGAAAATTATGCATCGTAATGGCGTAGGTACAACAAAATACAACAAACACAAGTGCAAAATATGTTTTAAACAATAATATGAAATGCTTATATTTTCTTACATTAATTTTATATATATTTTAAATTTGTAATATAATTGTTGTATAGGTTGATTAAATGTATTTTGTATATTTGTCAAGTAAATCATAAATGCCCAATAAATGCAAGATTTTTGGCGCTTCAAATTGATATTTTTTAAAGCAATTTTGTTAATGTAATTGTATTTGAAAAGCACACATTTGTTTTGTGATGAAAAGTATTACGAGGAATTTTTAATCTGAACAAATCATAACGCTACTTTTCTGGTTTGAGACAAAATGCGATTTCCTATTTTTGACATACGTTTACAAATTCTTCTTTATGTGCCTCATTAATTTAAACAACAAAATAATAATATATAAAATACTTGAAAACAAACTTTTTTTATGATTACAAATTTAGATGTACTTCGAAAATACAATTTCTGCTCAATTCAAGCAGTTCACCTTTTATCAAAGTTAAAAGCATTTAATAAACTTCCACAAGATCTTCTGAAAATTCAGCGAAAATGTTTTCTGGAATGATGTAGCAATGCTTTTTACTTTCCATCATTTTGCTGTTTCTTTTTAGTTATTATGTGCTGCTTATTATTTAATTTTGTTTATAATTTGATTATTATTAAATATTTTTAATGAATAAATATTTTTTAAAAAATTTGAAAACTTTTAATTGGATTTTATTTTGATAGGATTCTTATTTGCACGACATAAAACGACATAAACATGACATCAATCAACATGATCGAGCATTATGGTTTGTGTGATGACAAATTCTGTGATCCAGACAACAAGAAATAGCTAAGACAACAAATAAAATACATAAATACACACACACACACACACACACACACACACATGCATACACATGCATACACATACACATTTACACACGATTGTCAAGAGTCACTCAAATGTATTTGATTATGTTTTGTTAGGCGCATTTCGATGAGCACTGGTACAGTTTGTGAAAACTATATTGGAAAACAATTATATACTCCTATATTTGGCATTAAAAAGTTGTTTCTTGATTTCTAGCTTAATTCTCAATGATTGTGAAGTGAGAAGAGATTTATCACTTTATCGACGGTTTGTGTGTGGCTTGTGCTTTGTGTCATCTCAATGTTATGTAATTATATATAGTCTCATATATGGATAAGAAGTTACAAACTAAAAGTTTCCTTAAGATTATATATATATACGTATATATATATATATATATATATATATATATATATTATCGGATAAAACGTACGAGTATACTGGATTTGATTGTCCAGTATCATTTTTGGCTTCCATGCGAACAAACAAACATAAAAAAGCACTGAACAAGATTATGATGATGTTAACACAACTACTTATAAATATTATTAAAAACCCAAGAGAACAAAAATATGTACGATGTGTCAAAAATACTTCAATCAGTTTAGTGAAACTTTTGAGAAAGATTAACCAAACCCAAATGGAATATTTTGTATAGAAAATCCTTAAAGCTAAAAACACAAAAATCCAACAAAAATCATTTAGATTAAATGCATGGGGGCCTAAGTATGAATAATGTATAAGTACTCATGTGTATGTATTTTACAATCCAAAATTCAAATCGTAAATGAGAAAAACATGTATTTTAAAGAAAACACAGAGCAAAACTAAATAAGTACGTATAATTCTGTAAACATTAAAACAAAATAAAAGACTGGTCAACGAGGTGTTCCGCGTTTATGCAACAATTGCAACAAAAGTAAGAAAGTTAAAAAATATTAAGTAAAATGGAATAAAACTCAAAACAAATCTATTAATTATACTATATTTAAAAACGCATTCAAATACTCCTTAGCATATTGCCTTAGCAATTAAATCATTCATTCAAAAACAAAAACAAAAAAAAACCAACAAAAAAAACCCTAGCAACCCGATATTTTAACTGGTTGAGATTGTATCGTTCAGGTTGAGTAAGAGCGCTTGTAAACTTATTTTTGACTGCAGAAACAGTCCACTCGGCCATTTGGCAAAGGCTAACAAGTATATTGTCTACTACTATTCATACGTAAACTGTAAAGTTAATAAAGTACGAATTTTAAGAAACGCTGAATGTGAGTCTAGAAGTACTAAAAACAAAAAAAAAAAACAAAGAAAATAGGGGAAAAACAACAACAACAAAATAAAAATAAAAGACACACTGAGTATAGATTAAATAATTGTCTAAAATTAACAGTTAAACAATTTGAATGTATACAAACAGCACAAAATGCAAGACAAGAATAAGAAGAAGAAGAGCGTACACTGTACACATTTTCTATAGATTTACAGCTTAGCAATAATATTGAGTAAAACGTTTTGAAATATTTAAATACACAAAGTACACAATTTAAACACAATTTTCGTTAAGCTTTCGTTTGCATAGTGCTTGTCAAAATTTGGTTAAACTATGATTTAGGTAAACAAAAATATTGCATAACAATTTTGTTAACATTTAGATATAAACAGCGATTGGTAAAGTGCATAGCAGAAATATATATAGCTACATATACATATATATATGTATATATATATATATATATATATATATATATTTAATTATAATATTAACGTTTTATATAGGGAAAATAAGCGCATTAACGTCAACATTTTGTGTATAGTTTAGTGAAATGAATTAGTTTAATGTTAAAAAAAAACCAAAAAAGAAAAAAAATCAAATGAAGAAGAAAAAACCCAAACTTATTAAAACATACTAATTAAAAGATACATATACATTTACATATGTGTGTATATGTAGAAACAAAAAACAAAAAAACAAGAAAATTATATGGCAAACTACATATATGTGAAAGTTGTGTATGTTTATGTTTAGGCAATAAGAATTCAAAACTGACGAATTGGGAGAGCATGCAAAGCATCTACAATAAGACACATCATTTTGTATAAAACGTGTAAATTTACAGACACAGAGGCTGGATAGAAGAAAAAAAAAAACCGAAAATGAGATGAGCACAGACCAGCTGAGCGCACCAGAAGCGTTATACAATAAGTTATTTCGGTTTATAAAAAAAAAATATATAAAAATATGGGCGCGAAACTGAGTTCTTTTTTGGGTCAGCAGCAAATGGTGATTTATATGGATTTTTATAAAGATCTTAATTTAGCTTTTTTGTGTGAAAATGTAAGTTAGCCTACCTACATACACAAATTAATTAAGTTAAATTATATAAAACAAATTGAAATTGTACACTTAAGGAGCGTAATTGATATCAAAACAAACACATAAGTATCAGCACAGGTAAACTAAAAATACATTTACAATAAAGTTGTATGTAAATCGAATAACATACAAACCAAAAAAAAAATGGCATCAAATTTAAACAATGGCTACTTTACCGCTTGTGTATAAAACGTAACAAAAACAAAAACAAACAAAAACAAAAAAAAAAAAAAAATCGGAAGCAAAACGTCAAAAAACGAATCCTTAGCTAATAGCAAAAAAAAAATCTAATTGTCAGTGTTTATTATTACTATTGATGTGCATTTGCTGTTTGCGTATTTTTACGCTTATTCTTAACGCAAATCTCTTTTTTGCCACCAGTTGTACTGCTATGTGAGATGAGTTGAAAAGTTACTAATAAATGGTAACAAAAATAACTGCTTTAATTTATTTTTTTGTAAAATAAAAACAAATAAAATAAAAAATCGTTTAAGGCGTTTGGAGTGAACAACTAAAGGTTTAAATAATTTAAATGCAGTTTTTATAGAATTTAATTCAATTAGCATATTTTTGCCGTCATTTTTGTATATTCTATGAAAAGTATATCAATTATTATTGATCATTTTTATTATGATTATTATTATTATTATTATAATGCTTGTTTGTTGCAACTTTTTGTGAATCTCAATATAATATAGGTATATATAAAAATGTGTAAGAAACATCTAGAAAATAATATGAGCATAAGTAAAACATAAAGCATTCAAAAAATATGAACATGGCAAATTTATTGGGTAAACAGCCTATAGAACAAATGCGAATCTTGTATTTACTATTAGTTCATTATACATTATACAACAACAGCAGCAACCAAAAACAACAACAACAAGAAAAACAACAAGAACAACAACAACAAACCATACGAAGGAGCCGATGGCATAATTATAAACGTTATTTTATTCTTGTATAAGTATAAACTGAGGCATTTTCAACGTATGACAAATATATTGTACGCAACTTGATATTTTGAGGAGAATTTCTGTGAAAAAAATATAGAAAAATATAAAAAAGATAAATATTTGATTTTTATTTCTGGGAAATTATGTTGGTAAACAATGTGGAGAAAGGTTAAAAATAAACGCACCATTTAAATTTTTGATGCATTTAAATAATGTTGACTTTGTCTTGGCAAATAGAGACTGGGCTTGTGAATATATTTAACTCATGTGATTGCAGGCGGCA